AAAGGAATGCACTTATGTCTTAGGTTGGTAAGGCTCTGTGCAGAATCTTACCTGTCTTTGGCTTGCCAGCCTATTAATTGAATAACTGTCTGTGGGTTCATTTTTAGGTTTAAGCCATGTACTTTGGCTGCCAACATGTTGATGTTGTTAAAGAAAAGCTTTAACACAATGGGCAGGAATAAAAGTATTCCAAGGACCAAAAGGGCTAGCATGATCAAGCTATATATGCCATTTTTGAAGCTTGACCAAAATTACAATACTGACCTCAGACCATGGGTAATTTTATCTGCAGTATCTACCACACCAGTACTCAGCAGAGTGGCATTTTTGAAATTCAAAAGCTTTCTATGTATGGTTAAAACATCCCAAGAGGTGTTAGAATTATGCCAAATATACTCCACATGTCATGAAATTTCTTCCTAATTATAATGACTACCACTGTAAATTGTAGAAATAACATGAATCAAATGGTATTTGGCATGACCCTCAAGTTGGCTCCTTACCCTTAAATTCTGAATCTCTTTCCAGTAATTTGAATAGGATAAGAGCATCAATCCATTCTTCCAAATGCCTATCTCAATCCTCTGGTATATTCAACACATTAGAAATATTTTTTGCTAAATGATTAACAAAAGTAGCTGTCTTACCTTCTTGTGTCACAGCAATTGCAGAAGCAGTGGTGCTAGCAATTAATGTAATTAAAGCTGTTATATCAGCAATAAACAAGCCCACTACCTCTTTGCTTCTGCTTAAAGCCTGACTCATTTGTTCCAGTACTTGCAAGCTATCTTTAGAACACAAAGGTTCAGTGATACTCAGGGCACTAAAACAAAAGCTGGTTGATAGACCTCCATAACTGACATGCCGGATATCAAAACACAAACGCAATTAGAAGGTGTACAGTCAATGCCACTTACATTAAATACTGTAGAAGAAACAAAAGTATTTTTAACTTGACAATTCAAAGAGCCTTAACACATGTGCTAACACTTGTTTGAAATTCAGATCCTCTCCCAACTTTATCTCTTGCTAACATAACGTCATAGAGAACTGCAGCTAATTTCCATATATGTCTCTGAAATTGTCCAGAACCAGACTTCCAAATTAAGACTGTTATTTCCAATATTGGATTGATTTCTAAACTGGTCCATGATTGAGTCTGGATAGCTGGTCACATTTAATAACAATGCTAGAGGCATTAAAACTTCTCTTTTTGATTCTCTGTTCCACAAGGTCTAAGAACTTGAGGCAAGGCAGCTTGTCCCATCAGGGGTATAGGTAAGCAATGGTAGGTTGGGGACTTATGTCCAATATAGCTTCTCAGTCACCATTGTCAGGGCACTCAGCAAGCTCACAGGTCAGCATCATTCTTTGTCCTGACATCATCATGTTTACCCATTGTTTTGGCAGCCACCATGCTCCTTCAGCATCCTGCAGAAAAAACACAAACATTCCCTCCTCTCCAAATTTAATACTTGATTGGGATCATGTCTTATGCCAGTAAGTGAATCCTTCCTTTTCACCTATCCATAGTTGTAGAGGACCATAAACTCTCAGCAGAAAGTTCCTTGGCATACAAGTCTTTTAAAAAAAATTTAAATAAAAAATAAAAAGAACATGATTTAAATAAATTTGTGGTGTACAGGGCAATATCCCCCCTTTTTTATTTTATGAAGCTATTATTTTAAAGTTCCATGGTCCCATTCCACAGTCTCTTGTCCTTGACAATTATAAGGAATCTCAGTAAAATATTGGTAATGTTAAATTGCTGCTAAAATGTCTCAAATGTTTGACTGCCATAGCCAGTTCCATTGTCTGTTTTTGTTTGTTTTTCTTTTTTTATTATTGGACACTTTATTTATCTACATTTCAGATCTTATCCCCTTCCCCCGTTCCCCACCCCCAGAAACCCCTTAACCCATCCTCCCTCCTCCTATTTCTTTTTTTTTTATTGGATATTTTATTTACATTTCAGATGTTAACCCCTTACCCCATTACTCCTCCCCTCCTGCCCAGGAACCCCCTATCCCATGTCCCCTCTTCTTGATTCTATGAGGATGTGCCCCCCCCTACCCGCCCCCCCCCCCCTCCCCCCCCCGAATTCCACCCCCCCCCCCCCCCCCGGCGTCCAGCCTTCAGCCTTCATAGGACCAAGGATCTCCTCTCCCATCTATACCTGACAGGACAATCCTCCCTTGCATATGTAGCTGGAGCCATGGCTCCCTCCCTAAATGCTCCCAGACCTTGTGGGCTCTGGTTGGTTGGTATTGTTGCTCTCCTCATGGGGTCGCAAACCCTTTCAACTCCTTCAGTCTTCACTCTAGGAGTGAAGGAGACAGCTATGTCAGGCTCCTGTCAGCATGCACTTCCTGACATCCACATCAGTGTCTACCTTTGGTGATTGCACATGGAATTGATACCCAGGTGTAATGGTCTCCAGAAGACCCCTCCTTCAGTTTCTGTCCTACATTTTGTCTCCATATTTGCTCCCTTGAGTTTTTTGTTGCTCCTTCAAAGAAGGACCAAAGCACCCCCACTTGGTCTTTCATTCTTCATGAGCTTTATGTGGTCTGTGAGTTGAATCTTGGGTATTCATTGTTTCAAGATTTTGGACTAAAATCCAGTAATAAATGCGTGAATACCATGTGTATTCTTTTGCGATTGGGTTACCTCACTCAGGATGATATTTTCTAGTTCCGCCCATTTACCTAAGAATTTCTCAAATTCATTGTTTTTAATAGCTGAGGAATATTCCATTGTGTAAATGTGCCACATTTTTTCTATCCATTCCTCTGTTGAAGGACATCTGGGTTCTTTCCAGCTTCTGGCTATTATAAATAAGGCTGCTATGAACATAGTGAAGCATATGTTCTTGTTATGTTAGAACATCTTCTGGGTATATGCCCAGGATGATATAGCTGGGTCCTCAGGTAATGATATGAAATCCACTATATAAACAAACTCAAAGAAAAAACCACATGATCATCTCACTAGATGCTAAGAAAGCATTGGAAAAAAGTCAACATCCCTTTGTGGTAAAAGTCTTGGAAAGATCAGGAATTCAAGGCCCATAACTAAACATAGTAAAAGCAATATACAGCAAGCCAGTAGCCATCATCAAACTAAATGGAGAAAAACTTGAAGCAATTCCACTAAAATCAGGGACTAGACAAGGCTGCTCACTCTCTCCCTACCTATTCAATATAGTACTGGAAGTCCTAGCCAGAGCATTTAGACAACAAAAAGAAATCAAAGGGATACAAATAGGAAAGGAAGAAGTCAAAATATCACTATTTGCAGATGATATGATAGTATACTTAAGTGACCCCAGAACTTCCACTAGAGAACTCCTAAACCTGATAAACAACTTCAGCAAAGTGGCTGATTATAAAATCAACTCAAACAAATCAGTAGCCTTCCTCTATGTGAAAGATAAACAGGCTGAAAAAGAAATTAGGGAAATGACACCCTTCACAATAGTCACAAATAATATTAAATACCTTGGTGTGAATCTAACCAAGCAAGTGAAAGATCTGTATGACAAGAACTTCAGGTCTCTGAAGAAAGAAATCGAAGAAGACCTCCTCCTATTTCTATGAGGGTGTGCTCCCACCCATCTGCCCACTCCCACCTCCTCCCCTTCGTATTCCCCCTCACTGGGGCATCCAGCCTTCAGAGTACCAAAGCCCTCCTCTCCCACTGATGCCCAACAAGTCCATCCTCCTCTACAAATATAGCTAGAGACATGGGCTCTTCCATGTGTTCCCAGGCTAGCTGTTGGTTGGAAGCTCTGGTTGGTTGTTATTGTCGCTCTCCCCATGGGGCCACAAGCCCCTTCAATTCCTTCAGTTTTCTCTCTAACTCCTCCACTGGGAACCCTGTGATCAGTTTGGTGGTTATGAGCAGGCTTGCTAATAAACTTTATGTACAGCATTCACCATGCCTCAGTCCAGAAAGGGACACATGGTAGGTAGCTGGGAGTCTGGCAGAGACCCTGGTGGTGTGCTCCTTAACCATCATCTGTTACACTTGTAAGCAATTCCTTAGATACTAATTATTTTTCTACGAATGCATGGAAAGTGCCTCTCAATAAAGAAAATATCTATGCAGCCAGAACTTGTCTGCTTCTTGCTGCCTCACTTTTAAACAAAGATGCAGTCCTTTGCTACTGTGGTATCTGACAAAGGCAGATGTGGGAGGAAGAGATTTAAAATTTCCAGCACTGAGCCTTCTTGTGAGCTGCCAGATGTCTGGATAAACATTGCCTTCATGATTCATCTAGCTATCTGCAAACACAATGAAAGCAGTCTCACATGGAGTAGATGTGGAAAGCCACTTCTCCCACGGAGCCTCAGTTTCTCACCAGTTTTTGTCAAAATGCAGCATGTTGGTTAGGGCCTTTCGCATGCCCAGTCAAAGCTTTTTCTTTTTTCTTTTATGTTTTTTCTTTCCTGAAAATGGCCTAACACAGTGTCTGTCCTGCAGCTGTAACCTGTACAGGAAGACTCTTATCTGAGGATCTGAGGCCAGGTCAGCGTTGTATTTGGGGCACAGGGACAGCTGCAACAAATACACTATCTTCTCCCATTACCAGAACTGAGTTCTCAAAGCACAAGCTCTCTTTTCTTTGAGGAGTTCTGCTGTGGTGTCTTAGCAGCTCCTTCCTGCCTCACCCAGTCCCAGGAGCTAAAACCTGGTGTGTGCTACCAGGGATGCTGCTTTGGAGGCTTATGAAGCCCAGGGTGATTCTCAGGTTCCTTGGGGCTGGTTGAGAGCACAGAGCAAACCCACCCACTTGTTGATTTTGTTGTTTCCTCAAAGGAATGTAAAGCCTGCTAAAGTAGTTCAGTTGGAGCAGGGCCCCCAACCCATATGTCCCTCAGAGTTTTAGAAAATTTAGTGCCTTACGTTATTCAATGAAAACTGGTTTCTTTTCCATGCCCTTTGAAATCTTTCTTATTGGTCAGCAGGATGTTTAGTCTATGTTCACTTCTTTTCAGAAATCCCTGATCTGGACACTGAGAACATCAGTCCTATCTTTTCTGAGTCTTGAAGTGGAAGCTTCCAGAACTCTATGGCCTAGAAGTGAAATAAAAGGTAACTGTATTTTAAAATGTATTATTAAACTTACATATAAATTCACCCATAAGTAAACACATTCTTTTATGTGTGGAGTGGAATCTTGGTATCTTTTTTTTTTTTTTTAGTTTTATTTATTTTCTCTTTCTTTTTTCTTCTCCTTCCCTCCTGCCCTTCTGTTTGCTTCCTTCATTCTCTGTATTTATTTATTCAGTACACATGTGTGGAGTCCTCTCAGGGCCCAATGTTTGGAGCACACATACCTTAACCCTCCCTCCAGCAGTCTGATTGGCATGGGAGGGACTGGAGGAAAACACATCTGAAAATGTCATCCCCATCTCTGTCCAGAGGCTTCTGGTGCTGGTCTGACCAAGGCCAACAGCTATTCAAGTACCTTATGCCTTCATCATCCCAGTTGGCCCTGAAATGAACGCCCTCGTCACCGCTGTGTACTGACTCAGCCATTTGCTTACAGCAGCCTTTCCCGAGTTATCTGAACCTACTTTATGCTTTTTTCTTCACACTTAGGACTGTCAGAACAGAAGTACTCATGGGGTCAGCACAACAGCAACAGTACTACTCCCGAATGAGTTACTATACAGACGTTTCCCCTAGACCTGAGGCTTGACATAGCAGTTCCAAGAGGAACATTTTGTTTTTAATTCCTGTCTTGTTTCACAGTAAAAATACAGGTGGACCAAAGTGCTAGAGAAAATCACCTTCTGTCCCTATATATAAGATCTGTGTGTAACATGAATGCATTTCACATAGACACAACCTGGACATGTGCATAGTTGATGCTCTAGTATTCTGCAGGATGCAGATGGTAGCACTTCCTTCCCATAGTACTTCTGCAAGTACTGAATGAGTTGGCATATACAAATTAGGCTGTTCCGGGCACAAAGTGCACACCTCGTGAGAGGAAGCTCTCGGTGACCATGATATAAGCCAATAGTGTTACCATGATGTGTTTGTAATAGGACAAAGACTTTCACTCTGAATGCTGATGAGAGCCTGATGGTAGGAGAGAATTCCAAAGGCTACAAGTTCAGTAGTCTCATTATTTGTTCATTAAATAATTGCCTGCTCCTTGGTCACAAAAGTTCATTTGTAAAAGCCATGGCTCTGATTGGCAATTGGAGTGAATAGTTCTATATTCCTAAGTCCTTCTGTTCATACCATTGCTATCTAAATACAAAGGGCAGCACAGTCTTGAGGTTTTATAAGTTTAAAAGCAGTTAGTATGCAAAAGTATTTATTCTCTCTTATTAAATAATGTTATTACCTTTATTATATGTACTTTTCTTAAACTTTGAGGAGCAAATCAACTGGAAATTGAACAATACACATACACTGTACATAAATTAAATGCAGCTTACTTAAAGTTTGGCTTTCTTTCTGTGTCCTTTGAACTGAAAGCTCAGTTAAATCCATCGTGTTAGAGAATTTTCTAAGCAGTCATTTCATAGGATTTGCTTTGTGTGCAGTTGAAATGAATGACATTGCCTGGCAGACAAATATTGTATAGAGCTGGGGTGCAGCTCAGGAGTAGAATTTGTGCTCAGCATGCACAAGGTACTGACTTCCACCCCTAGCAATACACAATACACACACACACACACACACACACACACACACACACACACACACACACACACGGTGGAGGCAGAGACTTTTCAAGAAAAGAGAGTATAATTATATAATCCACTGTGAGTCTCATAAATTAGCAAGGGGCTGTGTCCGAAGCTTGCTGGCAGTACCCATCCTCCATTGTCTTTGTCTCTGTGCCAGCCTTGGACATTCACAGTGCAGATGAGAACTGAACTGTAACTGCTTTAAGAAGACTGAGCCAATGAGAAGCCATTTGCTGAAATCCAGAGGGCACGATGACTTCCAGATTTGCTCTGAGCATCCCTGTGAAACAGTTAGAACTGTAAAGAACTGAGAGGATGTGTGCATTTCAATGCAGTCCTGTCTGATGCTTGAGATGCTGATGGCTAGAATCAGTCTTGCTTTCTTCCTGCAGCCTCCTACTGTTTCTCTCTCATCCTTCCTTTCCTGCCTGCCTGCTTCATCCTTCTGGATGTTACTGTGAGAACTCTGATGCCCCAGGGCTCCGGCCTGTGGTCTGGACCTCTTGAGAAGGGAGCTGGATGAAAGTCCTACACAAGAGTAGTAGCTATGAGCAGTGATAGCCCTTTTCTGCCATCACTGCTGCTGTGGCCTCTTCTCCAGGAGACTTGCCTAGCCTGTGCCTGGGGCAGGGTTCCCAGGCCCTGTGGATTTCCCTGGTGGTGCCTCTCCGCCCTTGCTCTCTGAGGTGGTTTCATTGGTGCCCCTTTGCTTCATCTTTTCTCGGCTAATATTGGAAGAGAGCATTCTGCCTCTATGCATATCAGTATTTACTGGCAGATTGCAGTATTATGGTTGAATATTTACAAATCTCCCTGCATTTTACAAGGAAGGACCATGCTTTGGCATGAGCTGTATGTTCTGTTTGAAATGAAGATTTACTAACCTAAAGGGATAGGACTCGATCCTGGGCTGGAAATCTAGCCCCGGACTTGCAAAGTGTCTTCTGAGCAATAGACACTGGTCTCTCTTCATGATGACCTTTAAAGTTTATTTGTACTTTTACTTTATTATTGTTCAAACGTAGCCCAGGAATGGAGGGAGTCATGTGAAGAGAGTTCTGGGTGCTCTTCAGAGCATTCCAAGAAAACAAGGCAAGAGTCTTGTGGCCTCAGTTTCTTCAAAACATGGAATTGTTCTTGGAATGCTTTTTCGTGCTCTGCCCAGGGGTAGTGGATAGGAGTGAGTTTACCTCAGATTACTCCTTATTGTTTGCTGCTGTTGTCAAATTAAATGTTTAAATTATCCTTTCTATGCTTCTATGGAAACTCATTTTTTTGGCTTTTGCGGCTTGTCTTTGTGATTGTATACAGCTTGGACTCATGGGAACTCATATGACCTTTCTAAACCCTCAGAATATAAATTGTCCAGGCCTCTGAAGAAAGTTGGCTGTTACATGAGGCTTTAGTCTGCCTGGTTTAGTGCCTCCATTCTCCCAGATCCATTGCCCATTGAATGGTGACATAATGCGTGGTTGTATGAGATAGGTTATAGTTTGTCCTATGAGTAAGCAAGTTAGGAAGACTCAAGTTCTTCTCAACATTTGGAGAAGAGCAAAGTAAAAGTTTCTGAAACCCAAGATGTTAGGTGCTCTTCTGTGGGCTTCTGTGGGTAGTGAAGACAGTCCCCACCACACCAAAATGTACACTGTCTAGACAGTATGGTTTTCATATGAAATGCCCCAAAGGCTCAGCTGTCAAAGGCCAAATTTCTGGCTGATAGCACTGGTAAGGGAAGACTAGATCATGAGCTGCTAGCTTCACCAGAGGATTCCTCACCAGTATATCCATCCTCCGTCCACACTCAGTGAGTTATCAGACAGCAGTACCTAGTGAGGTAGACAGATGGGTTAAGAGCACTCACAACTTTCCAAGAGGACACAAGTTTGATTCCTAGCACCCGTATCAGGTGTCTCACAACTACCGTAATTCTTGTTCCAGGATCTGACAGCCACTTCTGGCCTTTGCAGGTGACTACACATATGTAGCATGCACTAAAAACCAAATACACATTGTCATGAATTTTGAAAGAAAAATCCTAAGAAGAAAAAAACTAGTAGAACCTAGTTTGAGGAAGCGGGTCACTGGGGTCAGTGACTTTGATGGCCATGCTTTTTTCATAGTCTTTTCTTACCTCTTTGCTGGTTGTTACAAGGTAGTCTGATGTTTTTTCTCTCCTGTTGTACCTCTATGGTATTTTGCCTTGCCACAGGTCTTAGAAAAGTTGGCCTGCTGAGCAAGGATGGAAACCTTTAACACTGAGCAAAACCAAACCTTTATCTTCTAAATTGTTCTTGTGGGGCATTTTCTCACACTGAGGAAAGGCCACAGGGACCTGTGATTTCACCTCTCACCCTTGATCTTATTTGCTTTCATCAGTCTGACATATGTCATCAATGTAAACTAAGGATGAATATATTTTAATATGTAGTAACATGAAGTTCTTTAAACTTTACCAATGATAAGGACTGAATATTTCCTCTGAGTATACTAATCATGTTTCATTTCTAGAATCCAGTCTTATATCATTCTAAACTGAATTTTGGGATTGGCATCTTATTTTCATGGTTCCCTTTAGCCATAGGAGGTTATATTTTAATAACCCCAGTAAATGCCTGAAGTGGTAGATGATAAGGAACCCTGAATTTACTGTTTTGTCTTATGCACATATTCCCCTGGTAAAGGTTTAAGCTATAAAATAGTTACAACAAGAAAGAAATGACAGTAACTAATAATAAGGTAAGAATAAAGCAACAACAGTGTTGCTGTGCATGGTTTCACTTGGAGGCCATTATTAAGTAAATAATGGTTTGCATAAACATAAGCACTGAACAGCCACAATATCTGATATCACCCTCGTTAAAATTTTCTATTTATTGGTTTATTTATGTTCACAGTGGTTTATCACTTGTCACTGAAATTGTAGAAAATGAAGCCATGGCTGGAGCATTATAGTGTGCATTTATTTTGTGTGGTAGAAGACAGTCACCTAAAGGTATGGTCTATTTTCCTGACTTTTTTGAGATGTTTTTTAGTGACAGACCTTTTAAATGTCAGTGTAATGAAGCCATGGTGTATTACATTTTTTTCAACATAGTCTTTAATGTAGCTTGATTTAGCCATCTACAGAAGGTGCTCAGATTCTTCTGGTTATATAGGATTCCCTTTTAAAAAATGAAAACAGACCCTTTACTTTTTTTCCAGATGTATGTACTCAAATGTATGCTTCTGTCTTCCTTCTTGCTTATTTTATTGACATATGTCTTTGATTTATAGGGTACATGCTGGTCAAAAACAATGAACTTGTGTTTTCAAGTAGAATGTTATTTGCAACCTGTTTATGTGCTTAGCGGAGTTTCTTTTCAGTGAGCACTGTTCTTAGCAGTG